ATAAACAAGCAATTACAACAAATACCATTTCTATTGCTGGACAAGATTTGTTTCCTGAAATAGTAAACGTTATCAATAAATATCTCACTGAACCTATTGCTAACGCAATAAAAATAGAAATGTCACAATGTCTATTTATCAGTGCAAAAAAGATCGAACCTACCATTAAAGAATTACATAGTGAACAAGTATGTACATATTTTTTTTTTTTTGTACATAAAATTCAAGTTTACCTAATAGTATACCTTGTATTATAAGGAAAATAATCAACTAGTATACGATGGATTTATTGAAGACCAATATGATGCACGCCTTATTACGCTACAGGCACTTATTAACAAAGTAGGATGGGAAGATGCATTAGAAATATGGAAAATTACGGATATAAGAAGTGAAAAAAGATACCACGTCCATTTTGTTGCTGTAGTCAATGCAGTATCATTTCTATGCTCGTGTCTAATGTCAATTTCAAAAGGAATCATATGTAGATATTATTTTAGAGTGATGATGCACTCAAAAACCGCAGCATTCCACATCAGTATGATACCTCATAGATGGTATAAAGATCATTATCAAGACGATTCCATTCCAGACAATCCAATATTTAATTATGAAATGGATATTTTCAATGACAAGAATATCTTACCTATAAGAAAACCTGCTACGATTCCAACAACCATTCCCACGTTTAAAAAGTCTATTTATAAAAGAAATTTGTATGGCCGTGTGTGGGGCCTAGCCCGAGAAGCTACATTACTTGCAGTCGAACAAGACGATAATAAAATTGTCACTTATCTTCAAGGTTATATTAGCCAAAAATGTAAAGGAGATAATCATACTGCACATAAAAGATCCACAACTGATAAAATTTCAAATAACGCCTGCGAAGTGCAAACAGATCAAAGTAGCGATGAATCAGAAGAATCAGAAATTGAACATGAAGAAGACATTGAAGAAAGCCTTAAAAGTGTAAAGAACCTGAACAAGGTTAATATCAAAGGACGGCCACCAAAATGGCAATATCTTAGTAGTGTCGAAAAAGAGCAGGGCCACCGGGGTGGATCTAAAAGTAGAGGGTCTTACAAATGCCGCATTTGTAATCAAGTGGGACACAATGCAGCTTTTCACAAAAATAAGGGGAAGAGTAGAAGTTAAATGACTAGTAACGCAACAATTTGTAGAGTGATCTTTCCAAGCTTCAAAAATAAAGAGATTATTGCGTGATCTTACAATATGTAAATTTTGTTTTATAGTAGTGCTATTTCACGTGATAAATCACATGTTATGCATAAATCGTATCGTGGGGAACACCCTTAGAATAGATCCGGGTCTAACCTTAAAATTGCTATCGAGGGTACACGGCTGCACATGACCTAATACACAGCAAAATGACCAGCATTAAACTAATCGACACAACATGGCCGGCATTAAAGTTAATGTTAAGGTATGGCAGTATTAGTCACGTGTATGCTGCGTCGTTAGAACTACTCTATTACTAAAACTTTTGCTAAATACATTTATGTGATATATAAGTATATTGCACTCTGGGAGTTGAATTTAAGCATTTCGCAGAGGTGCAGGATCTAGATTTATCCATAATTATATATACCCACCTATACTAAAGATCAACCGAAAAAAAATTAACTAAATAAAAAATAGAAAGAAGTAGAATTAATAAAAATATTTAAATAAACTAACTAATTAATTCTCTTAATATAATTAAATTAAAGCTGCAGTTAAAAAAAAGCCTATAAAGTTCTACATACTATGTTTCTAGTTTGAGTACAACTATGTTGTATAGCTACTTTATATATATAATAGAAATATAGCAAATATATGCATTTATAAAGGTATTATAAAATATATATTTAGAAAAATTGTATTTATAAAGATTTGACTATAACTAATTTTTACTACAAATAATTATTATCTATGATTTTTAATATATAACAAAAGGCAATTTATATTTGTACACAGGTGTTTCAAACACGTATCATGTGATTGCAATATAAAATATATTATATATACTATATAATATATAATCTATTGTGTAACTTATCAGCTGACTACGCCAGAGCGTAGAATTGATTTTACTGTTACATGATTTTTTGATATCTATCAACCAATCAAAGATCGGGATCAGGTGTAATGTGAAGAAATTCAAATATTTGCTTTGCAAAAATCGCACTTATCTTTTAATAAACCATCCCTGGGGTCCTAACAAAAATTTCTTTGTACGATTTTGCTATATTATTTGTTCTTTCTAACTTTAATCTAAAATTAGCCTAAACTTTAACCCAAGTTTTTATCTTAACAACATTTGTTTTCCGCCATCACGTGATAGTAGATTGACTCTATACCTTGGCACAGTTCTTATCAGTCTTTATATTTAAATATTCTGGAATTGATTATCTACGAACAGTTCTTAAAAATAATGCAAATTCTTTGAATATTTGTATTATATACTCATACAAACAAGCCATTATTAAACTAATCATCCTATATCTTTGCTGACTAAATAATATCTAATCAGATCTGCTATAATTCAAGATATAAGAATTTCAGTACTCTACTATATATCTTAGTTCCAAACATTCGTAATATAGAAATTCCTAAAGCTAGAATCAGAACATTAAAGATTCAGAAATATATGATATAAAAACAGGTAAATAAGAAAAAAATAAGAATAATATATGTATAGCATATAAAAGTCTTGAAAATCAAGTCTGCAAAAAAAAATAAAATATAAAAGAAAGTTGCTCTGATACATTAATAAAAATGTCTAACCTATCTAGTTAATATATACAAATATTACTGATTTATAACTTAACAAATTTTTGCATAATATCTATACTGTTTACACTTTCCATATTTTCGTCTATTTGTACTATTTAATGCATTTGTTGTAGTATTATTTTTGGTATTTGTACAGTCTTTTAAGACTTGTTTTTCTTTATGATTATCTATTTCAATATTTGATTTGAGCCTTTTTGGAGGTTTTTCTCCATATTTAACAATAGCTAGATTATTAACGGCCAAGTAATTTCCTGTTTCTTGATTGTTTACTTTTCTTTGAGCATCGTGAAGAAAAATCTTTAATGTAGTCAGCAATTCATTTTGCAAATTAGCTTTAATAGCATAATCAATAGCTTTCCTTAATAAACTAAACAACTCTGCATACACAGCTTTGTTTGACTTTGCAAGTGGTTGAGAACAACCAGATGGATTGACTCGAACTGAAAAAAAGTGCTAAAAGTTAATACTTTTTTGGAATAATATATTGTCTCCTAACCATGGGATACTACAAACCGCAATAGGAAGATTTTGTTGTAATAAATCATTCGGTGAGATATTAGGATTCAAATACCATCAATTAGAAATTAAACTTATGTGGAAGGTGGCATGCTGAGAATATGTACTAACGCAGAAAAAATATCGACATATCAATCCTTTATTAATTAATAAAAGACAAGTGTATAAATGTGTACCCTCATTAAGTAATACTACATAATGGCCTATTCCTTGGGTTTCAATAGCATGTACACTCTATACTTCAAGTATTGAGTCGTGACATATACTTGTAATCAATAAACTAAAAAGGATTTGCTGTGAATCTTGTTCTTGTTCCCTAACTCCACTTATCTCTTCATTATCTGCTTTCATGTTGATTAATTGTTGCTATTCAGTAACTCTAATAACATCATAGCATACGGACTGGTTCATCTGTGATCTTTGTTTTCCAAGAATCACAGGTGTTAAAAAATCTTTAATAACAGTATCAATCTTACTAAATAACCTCATATTTAACATCAGCATACTGATCATTGGAAGACTATTTTTCTCTATATCAAACCTTTCAAGGTGCTTCTCATTTTTTACATAATCTCTCATACTAATTAATAAGTCACATAGCGATATAGAGCGATTAACTTTATCATGTATATATTTATTAATTGATTCAATCCTTTGCATACTCTGTGCGCTAGCCGTAAAACACTTATACACCCAAGGTATTGCACATGATTCTTTACAGACATAAAGTGGATCAGATAAATATTTTGTCACCACAGGGTATTGATCAAGTAATTGTTTTCATCGAAGCTCAAATTGGCATTCATATAATGAATATTGACATGTATAAAATTTGCAATGAAATTCTTCGAACTTACTACTCAATTTTTCTTTAAGATTTTTTCGAATATTTAAATCAATGTGAAAAATATACAATAAATGCAGAGTATCAGGATAAATATCCTTGATCGAACATATTATAGAAAGATCTGAGTCTGTAAATATAACTGCAGATGAAATACCCGTTTTCGTAAAAATATTACCAAAAATCTACCGATATGTATCCAATGTTTCGTCTTCAATAAGAGCACATGTTACTATTCTACTTCTATAATTATTATCAATTATAGCTATAATACAAAATATCATCTGAAACTGATTGGTATCATAAGTAGTATCTATGATTACAATATCATTATATTTTCTATATAGTTTTCTTTATACAGGAGATATCTACAAAAGTGATACTAATTTTCTTGAAACTAGCTCTAATTGAATTCTTACCACCCAAAGCGGATCCAAATCTTTCCATTCTAGTAATAACTGTAACATTTTTGAAGCATCTGTATCTTCTAGATTATTTTTCTGATGAGTTTGATAAACTGCATTATACAAGTCTTATTTATAAATAAGTTGATTCAGATATATAGACCCAGAGTCTATTCATCCTTGAACAATGTACTTTTCTATATTTGCTATCATATTTGGTATTAGCTTTCGAAATCGCAAAGCCATATCACATATCATTGGAGTAAGTAAGTGATTATGTTCATTCTTAAATATATTAATTTTTATAATGTTAGTTGTTTTCAGACAAGTAACATTAAGTTTCTAGAGGCACTTGGCCCATTGAAAATAAGTATTGCAATGTTTGGTCAGATCTGATATAACTTGTAAAATATTTGTACCAGATTTGACGCATTTGTATATAGCTCTTCGCATCACTTCTTTAATTATTTCACTTAACCTGATCTTATAATTAAACTCTTTTTCTAATACAAAATGATGTATCCAAGCTTTGAATTCTTGCCATATATGAAAAAGAAGTCCAGCAATCAATTCTGAAAAATCTGTTAGGTTATTTGATTCAGTCAATTCTGAAGAATCTGTTGGGTTATTTGATTTAATCAATTTCGAAGAATCTGTTGGGTTATTTGATTTATTTAATTTATTATTATTTGAATCATTATTATGAAGCTATTAATATACTACAAAAAAGTTCTTGATTAGATAATAATATATAGAAAAATGAAAATGCAAATAGAACAAAACAACTATAATCACCTGAATCTTCGATGAAGTCGGGGCATATAAAATAGAAACATCTTGAACATTTTCATCATTCATATAAGATTCATTAAACTATTAAGATATGCAAAGACCTTTGTTTAGTATAATTTATCTCGATAGGAACAGATAGAATCAAACAGCTAGATAAATCATTTGAACCCTCAAAATGCATTAAGTATTTTTATTCATATTAGACATATTAACCTATTGAGTACCAAAAAATTGGTTTATTAGTTGATATTTACAAGCGCAGATAGAATGAAACTAGGATAATAAAATGAACCTTGAATGAAATAGAAGAATATAAAATGTAAGCATTTTCCTTGTCAAGTTTAACCATATTGGATTCGCAAAGCTATTGATATATTGCAAAAAAAAAAAATCTGGTTAGACAACATGCAAAAGGACAAAAATAAGAATAGAGTGAAACTATATGAGAACAACCATGTGAATATTTGATGAAGTAGATGCATATGGAATCAAAGTGTAAGAATTATTTTGGTTGAATTCATCAGTATTGGGTTCATAAAGCTATTAAATGCTATAAAAAAGAAAAGAAAAGAAAGAAAGATTAGACAACATTTGAGGAGATAAAAATACAAATAGAATGAAACTAGACCAACCATATAATTCTCTGATGAAATAGAAATATATAGAATTGAAATGTAAGTATTTATGTAGTCAAATTTATCTACATTAGATTTATAAAACTGTTGAGATTCATAAAACTGTTAAGATTCATAAACTGTTGAGATACCACAAGAAAAAAAAAAGCTTGATTAGACTACATGCAAAAAGACAAAATGTGAATAGAATGAAATTATGGAAGAACAACCACTTAAACATCTGATGAAATAGAATCATATGGAATAGTATTATCTTGGTCGAGTTCACTTGAATTGAGTTCATAAAGCTATAGAAATATTATAAAAAGAGAAAAGAAAGAATAGCCTTGATTAAACAATATTAAAAGAGATAGAAATGCAGATAGAATAAAATCAGAATCATCATGTGATCTCTGATAAAGTAGAAGTGTATGAAATTAAATTGTAAACATTTATTTGGTCAAATTCATCCATATTAGGTTCATAAAGCTATTAAGATACAAAAAAAAGGCCTAATTAGATAATATTTAAAGAGAGAAAGAAATGCAAATAAAATGAAACTAGAACAACCACGTGATTCTTTGATGAAATAGAAGCGTATGGAATTGAAGTGTAAGTATTTTCTTGATCAAATTTTTCTATATTGGATTCATAAAGCTATTGAGATATCAACCACAAAAAAAAAAAAAGTCTGATTAGACGATATTTAAAGTTGTAAAAATATAGATAGAATGAAACTAGAATAATCATGTGAATCTTCAGAGTGTACAAAACAATTACACAAATATCCGAAGTTGAAGCATATAGAATCAAAGTGTAATTATTTACCTGGTCAGATTCTCATGCATTTTTGAATTCATAAAGCTTCTGAGACACCATAAAAAAAAAGATCATATTGGAAAACGTTTAACGAAATGAAGACACAGATAGAACAATACTAAAACTATGAACCTCTAATGAAATAGAGGCATTTTGAATCAATGTATATATTTCTTCTTGATCAGATTCATTTGTATTAGGTTATATAACTAAAAAGATGCGAAAAAAAAGTCTCAATTAAACTACATATAGCTAAATAAGGCAAAAAGAATGAAACAGCAAGAAGAATAATCATGTGAAACTCAGGAGTCAAAATGTTAGCATATTGAGTATTGGTATTAAAAGAAAAGTTTTTATGATAAGGTTTGTTCATATTAACACTAATTTACCAAATGCAAATGTTTATCAAACATGCATAAAAGAGCAAGAACAAAAGAGAGAAATAAAGATATTAATAACTGATGATTCTTATTTTAATTAGCTGTACTCGTATTATGTAAATGTAATCGTATTATATCAAATGCTTGTACTATGTTATATATTAAAAATTTGTAATACTGTCGAACTATATTTCAAACACAGAAGTAAATTTATAAATTTTCATAACAAAATAACAAAATAATTTTTTTATAATTAGGATTAGAATAAAGTTTGAGATAAAGCAAGAGTATTGTTTATAGTAAAATTTTACAAGAAATTTTTTTGTTAAAGCTTAAATAATAGTTTTATAAACAAAATTCTGAAATATTAAGGGTAGGATGTATGTAGATTAATTTTCATATAATCTATGTGGTATATTAAATTTTTATATAGTAAATAAAAAAATATTTCTAATAAAACCTTTTAATATCTTAACCAATTTGTATAAAATTTATATAAGATGTAATTTAAACAGTTTATTTATGATATTGAAGTTGCGCAATATGTATTGCTTTAAAAAAAAACCAACTTCACATATAATTAAATTTTTTTAGATCGCTATATGTTTTTTTTAGATAATACAAAAACTGCTAATTCTGATTGGTCAAATCATATTATGTTCACATGTAAATCATATGATATCATATAAAATTCATTATACAAAGTTGATCTACAATCTATTTTATATGAAATTAGAAATT